CTTTGTTGTTTTTAATACTATTATATTTTTACTTATTCTTATTCTTATTCTTATTGATATTATTATCTTTTTTTCTCTCTCTTTTCTGATATATGTGGTATTTGATTCCTTTGAAGAAGCAGATCACTTAGTACAGTTGCCTCAAGAAGTTCGTAAACCCCTATTTTATATTCTATCAAAGTTGCATTTCTAGTATATCTATACCAGAAGAGGCATTTGTTGGTATGTAAACCAGATGACCGCAATGAACACAGAACACTGGGGGTATTAAAAAGAACTTTTTAAAGCAACTGTGCTAGTAGATATGTACATATTCAGTGATCCAGTTATTTGTATAGTGTATTGGTCAGTGCTGCTTATGATTGCTTTTGACTTATATGCTTATGGAACTGTCTTAGAAAATGAAAAATAAGAGGCTTGAGTATGTGCAAAGATTGACAATTTGTATGTTGCATTTTTGGGAATATTTAACCATATTTTGTATTTAACCTTGCTGAAGGGGGGTATGTGCATGCATGCCATGGCATGACTGGAAGCATCTCTAGGTGGCCACATGCGTTGTACCTGCTCTTAAGTTGTGTGCTCTAAACAGTGGTTCGATTGTTTGGCCATTACTGCCATGATTTAGGAGTTACAGCTGCTCAAAAGTAGTCTTAAAGTCATTTTTTAGCCTCATTCACATATAGATTATATATGATGGTCAATATTGTGGGGAAGTTACAAGTTGCCAGTGCTTCTAAATTTTCTCTGAAGTGGTTAATTACATTCAGCATTCTGCGTGTGGTTCAGTGTAGTGTGTGACACTCCTGTCTGCATTGGGTTGATTGTATGTGAATCTCTGATAATTGTTTTTGGCATGACTTTCATCTTTATACATAAATTCTGTAATCTGTATACATATATATGATCTGTATATAAAGGCCAGTGAACTGTCTGTATATATGGGCATGCAATGTTTTGCAAACTGGCAGGCATATTCTCTTTGCAAGATTGATTTTGTTCTTCCTTTTTCAAATATGAAAACTGGGACAGCCAATATTTTCTGTAAGCTTTTGCATTTGTGTCATAAATCTCTTGCTGTTTAGAATTTAGTCATATATCAGAATTACTAGACATACATGCTTTCTGAAACAACAAAGACAAGTTTTTTCTGCAGTTGTCACTTAATTTGCACCACATGGATGACCAGGGGGATGGTATATCATACATGTCATGCCCACTGTGAGAATAGCACATCATACATGCCATGCCTGCTGTGAGTTTGGTTTATTAATTGTATTTATGCTTAGATGGCTCCACAATAGTCACCAAAAAGTTAATTACTAAACCTATCTATCTTACCAGTTTACCCATTTTGTATTTTTTTTCTATTTGTATTGCTATTAGTATTGTTAACAACATTGTCATCATTATAATTTCTGTAATAACAATAGCATTGATATTAATAGCATTAGAAAAAAAATGAAAACTCGAGGTTCAATAATTGACTGCTTAGTTGGTTTGCACTTGTGAAGCCATCTACGTGTAAATACACTTCACAAAACGATACCACAGTGAGCATCTCATGTTCTTTGCAGCATTGGGTTAATTGTATATTTCTCAGGTTAAGAAATGCTACTCAGATACTCTGCTCTGATTCTTAACTAGTTGCCATTTTGTAAATTGATTTAATATGGCACTTAGATAAGGCAAAGGTCTGACTTTAGGAGAAAGAAAAAGAACTGTATAGTATTAATGTTAGACTTAATCCCCTATAGCCAGTGGGGCTGTTTGTTGCTTTACCAGTGGGAGTTGATGGACCACAAAATTTGCCTTTTTCATATCTCACTTGTAAAACAAAGGAAGGGTGATTACAATTCCTCTAATTTAAACTGCCAAATAAGTATTTTGTTTATTGGGACATTATTTTACACAGTATAGTGTAATAATTTTGATGCATGTTCTTCCTGGACATGAGACACCTCTCATATGCTTTGTTTGTTCACAATGATAGATGAATATCAAACAGCCAATTTCTGGTTTGATGTTGACCATCTCCTATGCTGGACTGGGCTCTATGGCTTGATGACAGTATGCTCTAAGAGAGAACATGTATAGACTCTTCTTTTAAATCCTTTTTTTTTTTTTTTTTTTTTTTTTTTTTTTTTTTTTTTTTTTATGTTGGTCTGGCTTGTCCTGTAGTGGGAACAACCTTGAGTTGGCCTATCTGTTAAAAGGCATCACAGGTTCAGAATAAGTTATATGTTTATGACATTGAATTTTCCATTAGGGTAAAAGGTTTTGGATACAAGGTAACAAACCTTTTAATTGAAGAAACTCCCTCAAGCTAAATTTATGGGAAATCTCAGAATTCATAGACTATAAAAGGGGATATCACATGTTTTCAATGGCTCTCAAATTGTGGGTTGGCTCAGAGTGAGAGGGCCTAGCCAACATCTGGGGGAAACAAAATTAGCAGTGGGAAAGAGCCTGTGATGCGATGGAAAGGAGCTCTTTGACA